ACACAAAAAGGTCATATAAGCGCCGAAGATTAGAGGTGTTACAAGAGAGTAAAAAACACAAAAAAGAAGGAGGGAAGATAGAGACGATAGATTTTTTATAGGAAAGAAGGAGCAAACCACACCAGAGCTCCCGCCAACCACCCACGTCCTAAATTTAAAATCTGTAAAAGTTAAGTAGCCTACCGTACGCTTCAGCCACCACCTGGGCAAAATTCAAAATTTATGCCTACCAAACTGAAAATGGTTAATGTGCCCCGCTCGCTCATATGACCTTATACTAGTTGCGAGCTCTGTACAAGAGACAGCCACACCCATCATACCCAACGTCGGACGTCAAAGTGAAAGTGGGATTAGGAAAAAAAATCTCCTCAGAACGCATGTTCATCATTGCCTTTCTCACCCTGGGTCAGGGTATAGGCTACGAACAAACACTTTCCACCTTTCCCTATCCGGGGCAGGCATCTTCATGTTATTTCAAGTCTTCACACTTTTCTGTACATTGATTTCTGTTGACTCTTCTCCACGTGGCCGTCCCAATTATTATTACCCTGTGGGTTCCAATCCAACACTTTCCTTGTTATGCAGCTGCCTGACTTCCTGAGAGGATGTCCAATACATCGCCACTGCCTTCTTCCCACCACATCTCTTACTGGGCCCTGTCTTGTTCTCCTTAACAATAACACTTCTTCGTTGGTGACCCTGTCTGTCCATCTGATCCTCAGTAACTTCCTTTAAAAGACACTTGTTCAAGTTCAACACAGCGGATAAAATACCGTCCAGACCGCTCACTTAGTTTTCCTTCCCCAGTTCCTCCCCGACCATCCTCACCACCCTGCCCGCCCCGCCCGACAGCCCAGCGCGTAGTCATAAATCACTTGTCAGAGGGGTTAATTGGGGTGACCGCAGCGTCACTCCTCCTGTGCCGGGGCAGTAGTAAATATGGCGTTTTAGTGCGAATTGAAAGTCTCCTAACTCTGAAACTATAAATGCTACAAGGCCGATTGAGATTTCATTGTAACGTGCTATGTATAACTTGTTTTCTTGTAAGTCCGATTATATCAGTTTTACAAGGGATTTAAGTAAGTCTGTGATTTTCAAACTGGCATCTTCAATGTTTAGAACTTTTTCAGTTTGGACTTAGATATATCAATTCGGCCCCCAACGATTTAAACAGAAATTCATGTATCAACTGTGGGGACAATTTTCATTTACATGTGCAAGTTTCAAATGCACGAAGTTATTCTATGATTTTCTGTGATTTTTTAAAAATACCAACCCACCACTCTGAACATTCATCCTTGCTGTTTTTAGTTTTCTTGCCTCTACTACATCTGAATTTCGTTGTCAATTTTAACAATATTTTTGTCATGGAGAGCCACACTCAACATGATCATATGGTGGGCATTGTGCTCAAACATCATCGCCTTCTTGAGGAGGCTGCACATGATATAGATGTACAGCTGGCCCATCAATCTATGGAGAATTGCACGCCTGGAATAGGACAAAATGTGCATATCTACGGCAAAAAATGAAAGAGGGCTGGAAAAAAACGAGGACATTCAATTGTTACAGGGCTGTCAGATTTTGTCGGATAATCCACGAGAAGCAGAGAGATTTGAGAGGAAGGGTTCTAGTGTACATGATCAGCTGTCAGAGTTAGAGTTTGGGGAGCTTATTCCAAGGTCAAGTCCTGCCTGCTCTGAATTTGATAACATCCTCAAACAACACAACCTCACACCACAGGCCTACCACAGCCGTTCATTTATAGGAAGCCACTGCCAAAAATACATCACAGCCCATGTGTACAGACAGCTAGCATCATTTTTAGCAAAAGGAACAGTTGCATGTACACGAAATCAAAGCATAATAGACACCGCATTAATTGTTCTGAGAGAGAAATTTGTTCACGTAAAAGACACCTTCAAAGATATCCACACAGTAATTGCACATGGAAAGCCAATCACTTTAGAGAGAATACCACATATTCAGTCATGCATCACACGATATATGTCTTTATATAGAAACATATTTGGCAAATAAAAGGTCTTGAGTCGATAGTGCCGTAAAACACGTGCTACTCAATCAAAATCGATCAAAAGAAAAGGTCATCCCCAAACAACACATCCTTGAGAAACACTGCGTTCCTTGGATACAAAAATGTGGGTTTGGAATGGCCTTCCATTGTGAGCAAGGGGGTGATCTCATTCATGCAACCGTGGCCTAACAGACAAAGAAAAACACGTCAAAACAATCATGCAGTCACAACACGTCCAACCCACCCTGAGCTACTCTGTCGTGTGCACCACCCATCAAAAGACGAAAGCTTACAGCGGAAAAATGAGATAATTCCTCCAGTCCAGCAATATTGTGTTCTTTTTGTATTTTGTGTTTAGGTTGTGTTTTCATAAGTGTATCGGCAAGAAAAGATCTGTTCTGTAGTTACATGTATCGTGGATATCGCTATGAAAAAACAAGGTCGCAAAGCAAGAGTATTGCAAAAATCAACTTCAAACCTGAATAATTACGGATCCAGAAACTTCGTGCATATGCCCCTTTGTCAGTACAAATTTCATTATGTTCTCAGTCCTGTGTGCAAATTTGATTGAATTCGTTGGGGGCAATCATATTTAAATCGATGTTTATAATTGATTACCCATGACACATTTATCAAATTAAGTCCCCTTTTTGAGAACTTCACAGCTTTTAAGTGTAATGTACCATGTTCTTCCGATTTCTTCATTTTTTTCCTTAATATGTTGAATATTTACGTGGTCTTTATTAAAATATTCATCTTACATTAGCTTTGGCTCACTGTGCTGGTAAACTTTGCAAAAAATACAAGAGCGCTGCCGGTGTTCGGCTGATTAGGGAAATCCCCGGCGGCGCAGGTAAATGACCCCGTGACCTGGGGAAGTGCGGGCTTGCTTGCCTCGCGCCAGCCAAAACTAAATGGGCGCTCTATAACCGCTGTGTCAAGAATACAGATCGCTTGTTGAATTCTCCAAATGTCGCATCCTTTCTCTAAACGCCTACTCAATGCGTATTTGGAATGTATACTGCATAAAAGATTTTTTTTTAAACCAAACTTTTATATATTCACATACTATCTCTCTCTCTCTCTACCTCTCCAATAGTTGGTAGAAAACATGGATCACTTTTTAAGTCATGAAGTCTGTGGTGCGAAGATTAGAGGTGTGTAACAAGAGTAACAAACACAAAAGAAGGAGAGATCAGGATGATGGATGTTTGATTTTTTAAAAGGAGCAAACCATACCAGAGCACCCTCCAAGCACCTGATACCATTGTATGTCAATGCTGTGTGTTACACATACAAGTAAAACGTAAAATTGAGGGAGATGAGCATCTTTCAATCTGCTGTTTGTATGATTCATGAGGGATGATCAATCATTGGCCATTTGACTGCAGAACATGCTTTGTCTCCTTTCATTTTAAATTGGCCCTAGATTTGCTCTACTGTATGGTCTACACGCTTTTCAACTACAGTAGAATATGGCTATCATAATAGGATTTTTAAGTTCCAGAAGACCCGCAATAAGAATGCAAAGGGGAATTACAGAAAAAAATTTTAAAATACACTCTCTCCTCTTCTTATACTGTCTTTTACTTTTTGGCCTAGGGCTATGGCAAAGATCGTACATACAAGCAAAGAGTCTACTTAACAAGAGGGTCCACTTCTCTTTTTGAGCCAAATAAAAAAAGTGTCCTCAAAATTCGGTGGCGCCCTCTTCGCAAATGCCCACCCTTTGCGAACAGAGTTACCCTACTTGTGTTAAAAAAACTCAAAGTGAAACTAACAAGTTTTTGAATAAATAAGAATTCAAATTTCGTAAGAACGCTTTTAAAAAATGGTTACGCAAACAAAAAACCTCTTCCGGAGGAAGGGGAGACTGTTTTCTTCGTTTAATGAGAGGCGAGAGGTCATTAAAATATTATATATAAAAAACTAAAACTCCGCACTGAACGAACCCGAACAGCTGATGAAGCCACTTTTTTTGGCTGAGTGAACCATCTTGTTATGTACTATCTTTGATACTTTACAAGACGGTTCATTCGGCTAAAAAGTGTCCGCGGAAGTGCGCAAATTGGTTCAGATGGCGCTGCAGTCTTTGTTTTGAAGCTCTTTCGTTTCTCCAGAAGAAGAATAGAATAGCGCAACTTATTGGTTTCACTTTAATTTTTTTTTCACACAAGTAGGGTAACTTTGCAAAGCGGGTGCTTTTTCTAAGAGGGCGCCACCAGATTTTGAGGACACTTTTTTAACTGGCTCAAAGAGAGGAGTGAACCATCTTGTACGATCTTTGGCTATGGCACATCACTTTTGGAGTGGTTCATGTAACGCATCTCTCCGCACCATCTCTCTCTGCCGCCTGCCCCACCTCACTCATCACTGGACTTGCCAATCACAACGCCGACTGCCTGTTTGGAGCCCACCTACAGCCGCCCCCCCTCCCAAGCTAGAGTTCGCGCTATCTCTCCCGCTGTATCCCAAGTGCGGGCCTTTCCTTGCCCCGTTAAACCCAAGCACAGTTAATTGGTCGCTTTGGAGCACAAGGGGGCTATCCCAAAAAATGCTGTTTTGAGTTTGAAAAAATTGAAGGTAAAGTTTTTGCCCCTTGTTCAGTGTTAAATTTAAAAGTAAATTTTTTATCTCTCTCCTGAAAATGTTTGCTGTCTCGGCTTAGAGTTAGAGAGCATTTGTTTGAACAGCGTGCTGACTATACAGACCTTTGTGAACTTGGCAGACGCACATATGAACACCATCTCCTGTCCAATATGGCTAGGCTCTATCGACCAATGTAAATGTCTTACAAACCACAGACAAAATAATTGCAACCAGTGTAGTTAAACACATCACTCACTGTCTACAAAAGGCCCTTTAATTTTGTAACCTCCTTACTGGGGGCGTGGCGGGCTCGAATTGACTTTTACCCAAGATACAATTAACAACAAAAAAGGAATCAAGAAAAATGTACACAGACTGAAAAAGTAAACAATGAAAATTACTTTATTTTAAATGACGATTACACAAAAAACAATGATTTTATTTATCGAAGTAGTCAGAAAACTTGGAGTTACTTACAGAGAAGCACACCGATACAATGACGTCTTAATATGCTGTGTGAAGGCAAGAAGACAGACAGAACTAAAAAGAGTGATCAGAAAAAAGTAGGACATATCGGTGACATCCTTCAAAGACTGCCACAAAAAAAAGGGGGGGTCGCTGTTGCAGGAAAATTGCATTACTCCCTCTGAACCTGTTTTACAGGTAAGGAAAATAATCTGGAATGACTCATTTTTCTTGCAACAGTGATAGCTTTTTTTTTTTAACTTCCATCCTATCTCCCTAACCCAAGGAATGAAAACTCTAACCTCAATACATGCATATTAAGAAAATTTACATTAAATATTTTCATTTAATTTCACTCTACTTCATATACAGAAAACTCTTGCAAAGTCTGACAGATACAAGTTCATACAACAGTTGAAACTTTAAAAGCCAAATCTGTTGTGGCTCGACTTAGAGCAGACCATGAGCTACTTTACAGCAACGAACAGTATTTGCTCAAAATATTTGTTTTCCCTTCCCACAACAAAACATTGTCAAATTTTTCTGCAACAAAACATTGCCAAATTTGATAAAAATTGTTATTCCTGAAGGGATGAAAACTGCAGTTGAAACGTGTATTTCATTACTACAGAAGTACATATTTACAAAAAGAGCAACTTCCTCCCCATCATCAGTCCTAATTACAAAAGTGACATACTGCAGCTGCAAAAATTACAAAGCTATTTACCATCTGCATTATATCAAGTACTCATTGCTCATGACAATTTCATCAAATTCATCACCCTCTTATCCAGATCTCTTCTTTATCCTCCAGCTGTATAACGTTTTCACCATTTACTAACATCTTTCCCATAGAACCGGTCTAATAAAAAGTATTGCTGCTAGCTACACAAACACAACACAATCCCTTACATCATCCTTTTCTCTACACCATCCTGGACTATCTTCTTCTCTGTTGTGTTCCTGCCCAGGAGCAGAGGGTCAGTCTTATAATTGACAACCTAACTGCTTTGCTTTCATAACCTGGCAAGGTGTAGCCACAAAACCACTACCCAATTAACTTTTTAATTGGCTGAAGCTGGCGAGGTGCGGCCTGAGCCAGGAGCCACCCAGTCCACTGAGTAGCGAGTGAACACCCGGTACGGAGTCTTGTCAAACTGCTGAAGATCCGTGGAGAAGGTGCTGTTGGAGCGACTTTCCGGAGCCCGGCCCATCAGCCACTGGCGGCAATCCTCCGCCTGGCTCGCCGTCACGTTCCGTGTCAGCCAACCCTCTATCCAGCTGCTCATCTGTGCATACTTCTTCTGGGTCACCTTCTTGTGGCACTGCAGGGCAAAACCAAAACACAAGACTTACAATATGTTTGCTCAGGCTAATGAAAAGCAAATTAACACAGGCTGGTCGTGAGGACACTAAGCACACACAACAGATCCATTTTTTAAAAAAGGGAAAATTAATGTTGTCATAAAAAAATCCTATTTTCAGATTCTTTTTTTACATGTAGTTAAACAAACAAAGATTCACAGTACAACTGACGTGTATCAGGTCATGTATGCATTCACTATCAGAAGTGAAAAAATGTTACCCCATCATTATCAGTTTAAGTGAGGTAACAGAAGAGATCTGTTCGGGTACACCCAAAAGGAAAAAAACAAAAACAAAAAAAACCCAGGATGGAAAATACTTCAAAACGACCAGTAAACTACCATTACAAAATGTAGACCTGCATGTGAGCTTCAACCAGATTGTCTGAACCCCCCAATCCATTCCCCCCATAAGAGCTTTTGTGGGTGTCATAACACAGCAGCACTTTGTAGAGATATATGATTGAGGCATTAACCCCCCAAAAAGAACCTGCAATGGCCCTTCACCTTCAGAAATGTAAAAAAGCCAGCAAAAGTCCAAAATGGAAAAAAACAAACCCACACGCCAAAACAAACAAAGAGAATATAGTGACCTACATAGCTATAAAGGGTTTGATATAACAACAACATAGAATTGGAATGTGAATCCTCTATATAGCAATATAGATAAATCTAGAATATAGATCTAGACCTAGTAGAACAAGTGAATAGGAATAGAAGGCCTTGAAGGAAATCCACATCCAAACAGAGGGCAGGAATTCAGCGGAGTCTAATAATTTATGCTCCTCGGGAAATGCACTTTTACCAACATTAACATTACAGCACAACCTACAATAGGGTTTGACACAATAGATTTAGCATAAGAATCGTCCATAGAGGTCTAGATCTATAGTGATCTATATAAATCTATATCTAGTAGAACAAGTGAGTAGGCCTTGAATGAATCCACATCCGAGCAATTGGCCGGCCTACAGGAATTCAAAATGGCTGCTCGAGCACCAAACTGAAAGTGTAGACAAAGCCGACCGGAGAAAAACGGGGTGCTGGCGATTGGTCAGGCCTCGCACTTCGCAACATTAACTAATACAGGTGAGCCTAGCGATAGCATCGCCCCATCGCGGGTCAGGTTGCGACTGTCGGATTTCAGACTATTGTCGGCAAACATGGAGGTCTAAAATGAGCATTTCCTTATTCAGCTACAAATAACATTTTAACACATTACACCCTAACTCGCCCACGAATTTCCTTACGTGCTCCACCCTAACTCGCCTGGATTCGCCCGCTCCGACAAGGCGTCTTTAAAAACGAGACTGGCTGAAATTTTGTTTTACATAGTTATTGCAAAATGTTTCTTCTTCCGTTTGATACCGGAACTAAATTTTTCGGGTTAGTAGTAGTTTTAGTATTAGAGCCTATCAAAGTGCGATCGCGTTTCTGACACTTTGAAGGTGTCTCAACTTGTTGAAATGCAACACAACTGAGTTTGAAAAAGGAAATAACGATGAGTTCGAACAAGCAAATGACAAATCAGATATTGGTGACAACGTTGAGAGTTTGGGGCTATTCAGATTAATCAAATGAAAAATTTAGATCTAGGGCCCAACCGCGAGGCTGAGAATGGGAGTGACGGGTCAGACAACCCGATTGAATAAAGTTAGAACATTTCCATCAGTATGTGCACACAAAGTAATATTTTTCTGAAACTGCATTCATTTCTCTTTCTAATTTTTATTTCTTCAGGATTTTTGGGATTTGTTTAGTATTTTTAAAACGTTTGTATTCACAGGAGGTGGGTTCCTTTCCTTTCCTTAGGATTTGTGAGTAGACTTCCCGCCCAGAATGTGTTAAACAAGATCAGAAGATCATTGAAAAAGTCAGCTTCAACTATCAAGGCACAATCATACAAAAGAAGTAGAGGCAAAATGACGATAGTAAAGGATTAGGAAAGAAAAAAACAGAAGTTCCCTGTTGCAGTTCAGGCACAGTTATGAGCGTGACATTGATGAATTAGCCCATTTACAATTCCCCCCTTTGGGAATGGCAAAAAGAGACAAGTCAGTAGCACCACTCCGTGTGTGTGTGTGTGTGTGTGTGTGTGTGTGTGTGTGTGTGTGTGTATGTGTAACATCTGCTCTTAGTCCTCGTACAAAAGAGATTGCAACAACTAGACATGCAACCATTGTTTGAGACTTCTGTCTGGGGCAGATCAGTGACTTGATTTCTAGCCTGCATTCCGCTCCATCACCCTCCACTCAACTGTTGGCTCAAACTCTGTAGGCCTATACACCAACTAATACTGTCATTACCAAGAGCGCAGTCATTTACATCTATAAAGCAACAAAGTGTCAAAGAGATAGCCACACCTGAGGCGGAACAAAATTCCTTTAACAATCCAGAAAATTCTTCACATTTACACTCTGCCCCCACGGGACGCCGATCGGCGACGGTGTGATATAGCATGTACCGCACCTGTATCCTGGTCTGTGGGGATAAGCGTTGCGTCCTCTACGTGCTTCATGGAAGAGTTAATATCAAACAGGTCACAACAAACATCCTCGAAAGACAAAACACATTTCGCTGCTTACATACTATACACAATCAGGGGAAACGAGCAAGACCAGAAGGCACTGCACAAGATATGCGGACACTCATAAAGGAGAAAACTCAAACTTGAAAAAACCAACAGCATAATTAAATTACACAGCAAAAATTTCTTACAGCATTTGTTCTTGCCAAACGTCCTTCCTGATACATATACATGTTTGAGCCTTTGACGATGACTGATTGATAAGAATTGTGCTGAAATTTCACACATGTGTCATCTATGCTTTGAATTCTGCGTGGCATATCTGAGGGGGGAAAAAAAGTAAAAAGGTCAGCATTAATGAAATATTCAACTTTTTAGCAAGCAGTAGGATACTCTTTTGATTAACATAGTGCAACTTTATACAAAACAAATATATCCAACAATACAGTAATAGACTGAACATTTATATCAGTTGTGACAATAAGCAAAGGAGGCTACATATGAACACTGAGATGAATACCACTAAAAGGGCCGTTTTCTTTTCTGTTTCAAAACATGCGAGGGCCACCACAGAAAATCATTGCGTAAAAAAATATCTTAAAAGCAAAACAATAAAAATGTTTTTCAGATGAATATATGGATTCCATATATTTCACATCATCTTTGCAAGGATAGAACAAAATATGAAAAAATGGGTGTGGGAGCGACAGCAGAGTATCATGGGTCTAAACAAAGATCCCTACTTACTCTCTGGAGGCGTAGACACTTTCTCGTTTTTCTTCCTCTTGTTGGCGGGTTCCACCGTCTTTTCGTCATCCTCATCATCGCCCAGTCCTCCATCACTCTCAGCCCCTTCCCTCTTGTCATATTCGTCTTCATCATCATCTGCGCCAGTTGGCGTGCGACCTGCATTGCCTGGGGAGTTGGCCTCATCAATGTTCTCATCTCCAAAGTCCCCAGGGGCCCGTGGAGTTTCTCCTCCTCCAGATATGGACTTCTCCTCTGACGTGGCACTTTTGTCAGAGCTGGGTTCACCGCTGGGTTCCGTTAACTTTTCTGGCTCTGCCTCTGCAGCAGTCTTGTCCAGTTCTGCCATTTCAACATCTGCATCAGGCTCATTCTTAACTGAAAGTCAAAAGAGGGAGAATGCCGATTGCTGCAATAAAATGTATATTTCTGACAAATATCCGATATTTCAAATTTAATAGGTGTCTGATGTCAAGAATGATGTTCTTTGACGTCTTCATAATACTGATATGGTCAGTGAACAAAAGGAGTGAACTTTTGTTGCTTTCTGTATTACCCTGTCCAAACGTAATTGCTACTGCATATAGATGCTACCACCATAACATGAAATACCCAAGGTAAATAAGATTTCAAATGTTGCCCTGTAGAAAGTTTCCATGTATTTCTGTTTATCTTACATGACTTTCATTTTCTAAATAATATAGCCTCTCATTAGACTTTCACAGTAAGTGGAACAAAACAAATAATATATGACAAAATGGTTTTACAGAGTGTATAATAATTCAGTATATGACTTGGTCTTGTTTAATGGTTGTAAGTTAAGTTTCTTTTTAAAAAAATTAGACCCCTAAACACTCAAGAAGCCTAACTTGACAAACTGTACGCCCAGTTTAATGCTGAACATATTTTACACATGGATGAAAAAAAAAAAAAAAAAAAAAGAAACCAAGCATTAGCACAAAAATAGTAAAATTTTGAGAACAGTGATATGCCTCCAACTGGAAAAAACTGGATGCCCAAGAGAGTTTCTGTTTTTCCGAGAACAAAACATAAAAGTATTACTTGAAAACCTCAAATTTAAGATTCTGACACTCCTACCTTCCAAATCCCGTTCCTGATCTCCATTAGTAGCTGGTTTGAAATCAATATTCTTCTCTGCATCTTCTGGAAAAAAAAAAAGAAAATTAAAGAACAAAATGAAAGGTAAACTGTGAGGGGTATTTTAAAAAACCCACTATATTCAGCAATTCGTTAAAACAGCTCCTCCAAGGAATAAGTTTTTACAGCTATCAAAGACTTACTAAATGTCAAATCAGAAAACTAATCAGGACATAAAAAAGAAGGCACATAATCACTTCTCAATGGGAAAAAGTAGTGAAGAAGGGGGACAAAAATACAACTCGACCGGGAATTTCCCTAGGTGCTCCATCCTGACTCGCCTGGAATCGCCCACTCTGCCCAGGCGTCTTTAGAAACATGGTCTCGCCTTGATGAGACTCTGGGCCGAGATTTTGTTTTACACAGTTGCAAAATGTTTCTTCTTCCGTTTGACATCAAATCAAAATTTGGCAGGTCAGTAGTTTTAGTATTAGAGCTGATCGAAGTGCAATTGCGTTTCCGACACTTCGAAGACGTCACGACTTGTTGAAAAGCAACATGATTGAGTTTCAAAAGGAAATAACAATGGATTTGAGTAAGAACAAGCAAATGGCATATCAAATATTGATGAAAAGGTAGTAGCAAGAGTTTGGCGCACTTCAGATTAATGAATCAGATGTAGAATTTAGATCTAGGGCCCCACCGCCGGGCTGAGAGTGAAAGTGACAGGTCAGACAGCCCAACTGAACTAAAGTTAAAACATTTCCAACAGTTTGTGCATATATAAAGTTAATATTTTTCTGAAACTACATTCATTTCTCTTTCTAATTTTTATTATTTCAGGATTTTTGGAATTTGTTTAGAAATTTAAAATGTGTTTTTTAAAAGCTTGTTTCATGGGAGATGGGTTCCTAACCCTTGCTTAGGACTTGGGAATAGACTTCCCGCCCAGACCCTTAGAGTGTAATGTTAATGTTGAGGGTGAGGAATACTATTAAATACTAACCTTTTTCATCATCATCCATTTCATCATCTTCCTCATCTTCATCTTTTTCTTCCTTTACTGGCCTTTCATTCATCAACTTAAAGTTCAGCCACTGGCCATTCCGCTTTTTGTTCCTATTGAGAGAGGGATAATACAAATAAAGTTGGTAAAAAGGGAACATACCAACAAAAAAAACACAACATAAAACATAAATCATAAAAATAAAAACCTAAGGGTACAGTCGAGGAATGTTTTTCTTTTACACAAGGTAAAATATGATTAATGACATCAACACTCCACAATACATCCAAGTTATTGAAAGTAGGCCCTTTTCAAGTAAAACGAAAGCAAAATCAAAAACAGACGAAAAACGACAGTTGAATATTTTTTCCCCCCCCCCCCAAACAGGAACCTAACATTTCTCAACATATATTGCACTTTGCTCCACAAGTTTAGAAGTTAAGACTGATTTTTAAAAACATCATTGTGTTGACCATTGTGCATGAAAAGCCTTTCAATACAAACATCTGAAATTCTCATAACATTTATTGCAGTCGTTATTTTGTAAGGACATTTTTCTTTTCAACTACAAAACAAATTAAACATAAATCTTACCTCAGTAAGTAAATGACTTTGTTGTTGCCAACCTTGTGGAGAAATTCTTCATTCTTCTTTGCCACTGAGTACTGGTTGACATAGTGTGACCATGAGCTGACCTCCTTGACCGACTCATTCGACTCCGGTGGTTGATCCAGCATATCCACCTCCATCTGTGCTGTCTGACTATGCTGAAGACCAAAAGAAAGCCATTCTGTCAACCAAGTGGTCTTTGGGAATGTGCATATTTTTCAACACTGATCACAGATTACAGTAAGGACAGTCTACAAATCAGAAATTGTAATATTGATTTTTTTTAAAAATCACTTTCTGCAAGGTGAAAAGAACCAAAAAATCCAAAATATTCACCTACTGCATCTCTCTAAATAAAAGTAAAAGCCAGTCATACACCACAGTTCAAAAATAAAAAGATTTTTTTTCTTCAAAAAGGCAAAAAGAAGAATGAGCATAGTGAAACTTACGACAACAAATTTGAATGGATTGTCATCGATGAGGACACCCTCTGCCTGTCTGAGGTAAGCCTGCTCCAGAGTGGCCCTCTCATGTCGAGTGGCCCAGCGGTCGCCAGCCCCACCTTTCTCTCGGTGTTCCTCGAAAAGCTTAGCCAGTCTTGTGGGCACATCATCCATGACCAAATGTTGAGCCTGTCAGTGGTACCATTGAATAATGTACAACAACATTGAGGCATTGATAAGTTTAACACTGAAACAAATAAGTCATTTCATGCCAGGAGAAAATCCGACCAAAAGACAAAAACAAAAGCACAAATTAGAGGAAGGGACCCCCCCCCCCCCCCCCCCCCCCCCCCACCTGGTAACGACTGCGAAAGACTAGAAAATCTGACAAAAAACACAGACAAGATCTACCTATGATCATGAACACTCGATAGGATTACAGCATTTACATACATTCTTTCATTTTTTTAAAAATTATCAAAAGAAAACCATAACCCTGAAATTACTATTTTTGATGTACAACAGCTATCCCCAGCAGAAGTCTACAAAATAAAGATCAAAGTTATTTAATATCTTGAAAATAAGACCAGACAGGATAGATGAGACCAAATTGGAAAGAAGTAAAATAAATAGGTGAACGCTTTACTTACTTGTCGCACAATGTTCTGTACCACTTTGTCCATTGTGAATAGCTGGTAGGCCTCAATGCCATACATTTCTCTCATGGTGTCTTCGTACTGACTCGCCTCCATGTTGCCGTCAAGCACAGCTCGCACCATGTCCATGAAGTAGGAATAGTAATCTTCTACCTCCACATCCACTGGGGGACAGTCAAACAATATTAGGACAATCTAATCAAAGAAAATTATTAGTTGACAAGACATCCAGAGGAGTATGTTTAGTTTGAACACGAAAAATTTTTGATTTAAAAAGTGATCTGGTAGCAGAGAGATCAACTATACTTTCTTACATGCGCCTTGAAACAAAAAAAAAAAAAAATTAGTGAAAAATAATGGGCATCCTACCCTTGCAGCCCGGACAGGCAATCACAAGATAGTGGATTCCATTTTCCAAAGACAAGTATCTTTATACTTAGCTAAATGCAGAGCCAGGAACATAATAATATGAATTAGACTACAAGCTTTGAGGGGCAAAAAAGCTGTTATCCTGAATGTTCTCCACAGAAAGCTAAATAACAAAACAAGCTGACTAAGACAGTAAAAGTCATTTGAGAATTCTTTTATGAAGGGACCTAGCATGAACTTTCAACTTAAAAATACTCACGAGGTGAGCGCAGCCGAAGTGCCAAAGCCACAGATTCCTTTCTCTCCTTTTTGGTGAGTGCTTCTTCTTGAATGAGTTTTTGAGTCAATGTAAATGCCTTCAAAAGACGAGCACACAATATCTGATGCAGCCGCAGAAAGATGTACCATGTTGAGTTACAGTAGAACAATGTATAGCGATCCTGCAAAGAAGACATGTATATATCAAAATACACAAAAGTAGACCTACAAGATATTACAAATTTGATCAACTGTCTATTTTGTCTATTATCTGACCTGCTATGCTCGTTAAAATGAACTATTTACCATGAAGACCACCTTATAAACACAGAAATATGACTCTCTAAACCAACACAGAAATGTGACTCTCTCTATATCAACATTCACAAGTAAACCAACACAGAAACGTAACTCTAAACCAACACGGAAATGTGACTCTCTATATCAACACTTGACATGTGACTTAACCAACACGAAAATGTGACTCTTAAACCAACACAGAAATGTGACTCTAAACCAATACAGCAATGAAACTACAGCCACTTACATGGTCATCATCATTTTCTCCTCCATTACTGTCTCCACCCATGGCCCCTTTCTTATCCGACTCCAAATCATCCTCCTTCTGTCCGTCTTTGCTCGACTCCTCTGGATCAGACTTGATGCCATTCACTTTTTTGTCCTCAACCTTTTCCTTGGCCCGACGGCTTGTCTCTGACACACGACCATTTGCTGATGGCTCATCATCATCCATGTCCATATCTGAGGAAGATGAATAAATTTCAACTCAACATCCCAGCAGAATGGACACTGTATCTGCCTTGAACATTAAAGCAACACACACGCATTTTTCTGAAAATGACAGTTACTATTAAGAAAAGTTCAATGAGAAATGACTCAAATGAAGAGTGCATATATACACCATTCTCAGTTCCATATAAAAAAAACCAAATTAACTGAAATTCTCAATACTTAATGTCAGTTTACAAAAGCTAAATCAACATTTCATAAACTACCTTCATTCAAGTCACCATCATCATCACTCAAGTCTCCCCTTGGTGCAAAGAACAAGTCCGGCACAAAATGCTTGACCAACTGCTTGATCCGTGTCTTGGCTTCTTTGTCAACACCTGAAAGGAGAAATACAAATAGGTATAAACACCTTCTTCCCTAGTGCGCTGAAAAAATACAAATGACTCACAAGGGTCAAAAATATATGCAGTTCAACAGAAAGGTTTAATATATAAATTATGCATGATCTTTGCCATTGGTTATTTATTATACATCTAAAAAAAAAATGGGTATGCTCCACACCTGTCTGTCTTTTTACATGGTGAATGATCAGATTTCCAGCATCCTCAATCAGAGAGCGATCATCATATGTGAAGGTCAACATTGGGCCTTGAGGGGGACACTCCTCACTGTCTGTCCTCTGTAAAATCAACAGTGAAGAAATGATGGCAACAGAAAAAAAACAGATAAAAAGGATGTAATTCTACCGTCCTGTCCTATCTTCCAAGTCTTGTAACTGCACCGAAAATAGGACAATCGTAACACTAGAGAAAAAAATGAAAGAAGTAAACCATACCACAGTGCTTGCTCTTTGCACACACACACAAACATATGAAACTTCAACATAAAAGAGCTGAAACATTAATGTACAACTAGTTATTTGTGAACATCTAGCATTCATTGTAGATATTACCAAAGTTTAAACTGAACAATAATACAAATTTTACTGACTTTAATAGCAAGACGACTCCCATAAACTTGTTCCCCAAAGAACATTTTTCTTTTCTCTTTTTCTTTGTATTCACTTCACCCACCTCATCATAAATGGTCTCCACTTGGTTCAGCAATGACTTGCCACGAATGGCTTTGATATCATGCTGCTTGAAGTTAGCACACTGATGATCCAGAGACTTGAGATAGAACTTCTCATTCTGTTCTTTCCACATCTTGTTAAACTGTTTTTGGGCCTCACGCCATTCTTCATCTTTTGCTTTCAACCTGTAAATGAAACGATAAAAGCCACGAAATTGACATACTGTAAAGCATTCGTAACATAGAGAAATAACGTTCCAGTGTATTTCCATGTAATCAAGCATTGAATATGTTTATGTTCTTACATCAAAAGGCTTTTGTCTCTAGCTAACCAACATTTGAGGCCAAAATTAAATAACTAAAATTCTTTTTAAAATTCTGAAAATCAGCCTTGGAAAAATACTAAAGCACTACTGATATTAAGCTATCAAATAAGAAGAAAAATTACAAGGTCCTGCACCCATTTGTGAGGATTATGGTCAACAAAAATACACTTCATGCCCATGTTAAGAAATTTCAGAATATCATTATACTATCTATTTACCTTCTGAGAACAAGTGGAACAGCCACAACTGGATTTTTCTTCAGACCTTCAATAATGTCATTAGCTTTGTCTCCATAGATTCTGAAAGCAAAGAATAATCAGGTTAAATTACAAGCACTGGGAAGAAGTATTCCGGCATCCTTTCATGTGTTACTCGATGATTACAACCCCTGTCATTACTTTATAATCAGTACATTTCTTTGCAAATTTTTTTTTGAAAATACCTACTGATTACAGTGCCAGTACTGCATGCAAAATGCCCAAAACATGCAGAGTGACAACATTTCAGCTTCTCAATCCTCCATATTCACATTGTTAGCCCTCTTGCATTTCTCACCCACAAAGGATCAGTAAAATTTTAAGTTTGAAATGAGAATCTTTTTTAGATTTGAGAATTTTTAAGCATTTGGAAATACAGAGAATGTTAAAAAACGAATCAATTATATGAGAGCGGAGAAAAGCCCCTTAATATGATAGAACCAGTAGGTCCACCTGTGTATGGAGTTCCTGTTGATGCAGTCAGACGTTCCTCCCAATGAGTTGTCAAGACGAAACTTGTTAGCTTCTTCCTGTGCCATTCTGTTCATCTTTTTCAACACTGCCTCCAGAGACTTGATAGTAGAAAAGTTTGTCTCTATGACATAGTCCAGCTGTGGAAGAGAAGTTTCCCATTAGCTTCTATTTAACTTAATGCTGTATCGTTTCAAAGCTTTTATATACAAACAAACAAAATTATAAAAATACTTTATACAGTGAAATATTCTTTCTTGATAACCGCGATACATGTCCAGGTTGGAGTACAAGTCAATGTTAAATTGGGATATTTAAAAAAAACCAAGAACTAAAGTACTCTTCTAACTACATCTTATTAAAAAGTGAACATTTGCTTTTCAGCTACATTAACTCTATCTCTGAGGGGGGTAAACCCACTATGCCAGGGCCCTCTTTTGGTATGAAATCTAAAATGGACAAATATGTCATTAAACTGGTCATTTAATCAAAACAAGTGAACCTATTTCCATAGTTCTTTATCTTATGAATGAACTCCTTGTAAAAGAGACCTGTTTTAGACAATTGCTGAAAGTTATTTGATGTTGTGGTCGTTGTAAAGGAATGTGCCAGCACTGGGACCAGCTTGCCGGAGAAGCAGAGTTAACTCGCGGTCGAAACTGGTGAGCTGCTGACAGCCACTTGGGCACATTCCTTTACGACGACTTCGACATCAAATTACTTTTCGGCAATTGCCGAAAACAGGTTTCTTTTACCGGAAGTTCATTCTTTAGAATAAGTATTGTTATAATAGGTTCGCCAGTTTCGATTTAAGGACCCATTTAGTGACGTTTTCGTCATTTTTAGATTTAGTAAAAAAAAAGGGCCCCGTAGCCCCCCCCCCCCCCCCCCCGCCCCCAAGATAAAGAGTTAAAGGATCACATATGAACTGATACATAAACAAACTATGCCTATACAACCATAAACAACTTTCCAGAAAGTGTCCTCGAGCACCCTAAACCAGTAGCTTTGATAAAACGTTTATGTAAATCTATCTGGGTTCAATAATAACTAAACAAAATATCAGTTGCCAAGAACAAAGTGAAAACACAAATGGCACCTCAAATCGTTCATCCTCGCATTTGTAAATGTTCTCCTCATACTGAGTCTTGCGAGATGTGACAAAGGATGAGTCCTCTGACCATGTTGGGAAAGAAACCCATGTGTCATTCAGCACCTGTCAAAACAGCATAAAAAATGATTTCACCTAGAGTCACTACCATCATGGTGTGCAAGAGAAATATCAGCAACTATTTAATAACATTATAAACTATACAAAAAGCAATAGGCCAAGTACAACATGGCAAACAAAATCTAGAACGACACCCACTAGGTGCCCTTGTAACATTTGTATCAATGCTAGTTATGGTACTGTGCAAAACAAAGTTCAATAGTCAAGTTTAAAAAGGAATTAGTACAGACTTAACAATGCATATATTTTCATGAACTACACCAACAATGAGAAAGCAAATATTTCATTAATTAACTTTGTGGCTATTCTTTTTCAGCACAACTAGTGAAATTTGATGAGAAGCACAACAGTTACAAAATGAATAACAGATCCAGCTTTCAAATGTCAGGCGATGAAAATCCAGCTTTACTGAGCTAAAAATATGAATCCGAGTGACAAAAATTATGAAGCCTGTTGTAGAAAAGTTCCATCCTTACCTCACGACATAAAGCTGTACGTCCACTGCATTTTGGGGGAACATACTTGCTGGGTATTCCTCTGTAACTTGCCCCATACTTCTTACATGTGTTAAAATCTGAAAAAAAAATATGAATACTTGACTGAACTATGAACAATCTTAGAGCAACCACAACAACAAAAAAGGCAAACCGAGAAGCAATTAAAAAAGAAAAAAAGCCTATGTAGAACAGTGGTCTCCACTAATAATATGACTTGCCTTACAGCTCATTAGTGCATGATCCAAATTGACAACTTCATCTGATACCAGGATTGTTCCTGCACAAGTGTCAGAAACAGATCAGCCACGACATGACCCATTTTTCCTGGTACTGATTGAAGTGAAGCCCATATCAAATGTTTTCATTTATTTCATGTGCTTGAAATTGTGGCTTTGTGAGGGAGCAAAACATCAATCAGACAAGGCGTGAGACAACTGTGCAATGAGGAAAACCAGTGACCAACTACGCGTGGCTGGCGGACAATGTGAGAATACTTGCAATTAGGTCCTTGTCTGCGATCGATTGGCGAAGGAAAACTTAACACTTCTGGGGGAGCTCAGTTCAATGACGCAATCTACTGCAGGAGATCAGAACATTTACTCTAGACTACTCCTCTTCAAAATTCTCTTCATGGCATAATAGCATGCTTTTTTTCCCCCAAAGATGCAAGCCATTAGGAGACCACCATATCTATATCTTCGAAGTTTCCACTATTCCTCATAAGTATTATACTAAATTAAATGTCATATTAACGTCTAACACACTGCACATTAGATGAAGAATACTGAAAACTGGCAAAGGCAAAAACAAGCAGGAAGTCAAATCATCTGTTTTCTCTTTCAGGAATACTAATAATACTAACTCACAATTATGCACATAATACCAACAATAAGAAATGTCTTCGGCAAGCAATACTCAGACCATGCTATTACCAACAGATCACCAATTCTTCGCGCAAGTCTTATAATTTGTGTCCCTGAGTACTTTATACACAATTACCAAGACATTCATTAAAAGCATGACAAAGTCACTGACCAATTTCCATGGAGAGTTCTCCACCTATTCTTTCTTTTGATGCAGCTCCATGAGGGACAGCTTCCACTCCACCACCCTGTTCATTTACACCCAGAAGATCTTTGAATTCTCGGAACAAACCAGGAAATTTGCTGAAATAAAAGAGAGAAACAAAATGTTTTAAAATGAAACGCCAATTATTCATTGCTTTGGAAAAACCTATATCTTCTTCTTGCAATTTGCAATAATAAACTGATTTTGTAAGAAAATTATGTATAATGTACTGAGCAATGCTCATACTGCAGAAACACAGCATCAGTCAGTGAAACAGCTAAATATTCCATACGTCACCAAAACATGAAATATTGAAAAGACAGAAAAACAGCTTACTATACTAGCATGGAACTGCTCTCATGCAAACCCTCACTCCCTGAAACCCTCATAAAAATGAAAGTCAGCCTGCCCAATCATTCTGGACATGGATTTTCAAAAAATAGTTTGAAGCTCTAATCAACAGTTCTTGATATTTAAATTTAGCATAAAAATTAACCAAACAAAATTCTAAACTTTTTCTTACTAGGATCAAAACAATTACATTTTTCAATTAGAACAAAACCTGGGACAATGTGTCAACTTACGACAAAAAGAATCCCACCAGAGTCACGAGCTCTTGCTTTGTCACAATCTCTTGGTTGAACAGAACAATGGTGCGTAAAAAGTTGTCATACACCTCCTGATGCCTCAGTGCTTTCCTCACCTTCACACAGAACAGGAAAACAAGACATGTTATGAAGTACACTCTATTTATTGCCAGTGCAAAGAATTTTTTAAAAATTCTTCTGAAGGCTAGGGCATAAACTTATCTAGACACTACACTTAAAATTTTCGTAAAAATTTATTTCCATCATAACATCCAGGAAGGTTATGCAAAATCTAAGTCTACAAACAAGGGAACCATCTCTTCCAAGAAATTCTTAAGCCACATTAGCCCATTAAAAAACAGAACAAAGCTTTTGCCTTATGTTACGTCTCACAGAAACTTAGACTCACCTTGTCAAAGAAAGCATATTCAGTCAAAGTGCCTGTCTTGCTTGCATCAGCCAAGCTGAAATCCTTGGGGACACCCTTTTTCTGACGAGTAAAACACAAAGAAGATTGTAAATAAGATAATGATTGTTAAAGTAAAAACAACTGCAACAACAAAATAATAATCTTTCAGTGCTGAGAAAAAAATAGGACTGACAAAAACAGACGGAGAGTAGAGAAATATGACCTACCACTGGCTTTCTCTAACTACTAACACAGAGAATGACATCACAACTTCCCCACCCTCCCAAAAAAGCACAATCCAGCATGTATTTATAACCCAACCCCTTTATAATCTCCACATTTCAGAGGGAAACAACTTTCCGTAGCTTTGCTTGCACTATCAAACACATCATAACATTCTATATATGCCATTAAATTTGGAATTTCAGTTCTTACCTTGACAGGTGGAGGAAAGGAAGATGCTGAAGATGTGGAGCCAGAAGGCCGTTTGACTCCAGAGCTAGACTTTCCTGTCTGAGTTTTCCCACTAGAGTAGCCAGGCTTCTTCACTGTTGATGAGTGATCATTGCGAACTCCGAGAGCAGAATCAGCCTATAGGCCAAAAGAATACAAGGAAAGGGGTAAAAGTAAAGGACATTGATGATGACAATATATGAAAAGCATCCAACTACAGTATGGAACGAGCAACAACTGACCCTTCTCCCCTTTTATATCAGACTCCCACATAGGAAAAGAGCAAATACCAAAACATAATTTAAAACAATATTTCCATGAGATTATAAATAACAGAAACATGTATCTTAATTAGGAACGAGGTTTATCAACTTCTGAAAATCAATGCAATAATAAATAAACACAATAATCAATCGGCTTACGGGTCAGTAACCAACTAGTATGCAAATGGCCATCATGAACCAATTAGGAGAATCAAAAACACTGAACTTAAGAATAAATAACTGCATAACAATACCACATCGTCAAACCAACCACTCACATTGAAAGCCACAGAGTCATGTCTTCAAAAGTATTATCTATTAAAAACTCTTTAAAAAGGAAAACTTACAAAGGAAGCCACGCCATATGGGGAGGCCCCATTTGCATCAGGCAGAAACTGTCCAAACTCTGCCAAAAGATCCTCCTGGTGCTTGAACAAGTTGGCAACTTGCTGGTACACCTCGCTCTCTGTTAGTGGCTTGCTCGGGCCAACAGACAGACCCTGTGGGCACAACAGAGAACTCTAATGGAGAAATTAGAGAAAGAGGACATGGTGAGAGTGAAAAACGACAAACAAACCAAACAATTATACACCTTAAAACTAAAAACAAACAAAATTCACAGAGATATAGAACTTGAATTTTCAAAGTATTCCCATGTGTTACATTTACACTTCAAAGTCTTAAGATTCCATAAGTTATACTTTTTAAATTACAACCCCCTCCCCCAAATAAAATTATGTTGACACCTTCAGCATTTATACTCTTAAAATAATGTTTACCCTGCTCATATCTAATTATTGGTCTCGCAGGATAAATTCCACAAAAATATTGCTGTTCTGAGAGAAAGGAAGAGGAAAGAGTTATAAATTTGCTAACTAGAGCCTTTGTGTCAGTTCAAGTTTACAAAAGCTTTTTTTCAGGAATTTTTCCAGAAAATGAGTAAGACTT